TAAATTAACATTTTTACTCTTAAAATAAGATAATTAAATAATATGCACTTGAAATGAGTGAATAAAATTGTTTTTCCTTATTTTAAGTGTAAATAGCCTTGTTCCATTGGCAAAAATGTCTCTTTACCTCCTAAATCCAAGAACAAATGCACTTATTTTAAGAAAAAATTTGAGTAAAATGTATCCATAAAAGCCATTTAATCCGATGGAGCTTAGTTAACTTCAGGCTTGCTGTTATACTGAGATGTATTTCTCACGTTTTAAGGGAAATTGAGAAACATTTGGTTTCTGAATCCTTAACTGAAAAAAACTGTGCTGCCATGTAAAGTGTTTAGAAACGTGGACACTTTTTCTTCACTGCTTGATAATACAGGAAAAAAAAAAAACAGTGAGTAAATGGTTTTAAAAAGAGTGCATTTAGACTTTATGCAATTGTTTTATTATCATTCTACTTGCTGGCTGTGATAAGTTTTTTTTTTTTTTAAAGAAACGTGAAAACCCAAATTGGCCAGTGGAGTGAAAAAAAAATCTATGGGATTTTTTTTAAAGTGTGACAAAAAATTTAACTTCTCTAAAAAGTTATTAGCTGGTTATACTTATAAATGAATGCACTTTTTTCAGAAAAAAATTAATAAATATATATATATATATATATATATATATATATATATATATATATATATATATATATATATATATATATGATAAATACATAAACACACATATATATAAATAAACGTACATCTTCACCCTCTGATAAATAAAGAAATAAAGAAAATTAATCCATTTAAATTCAGATATAGACGAAATTGATAAAGATAATTGGAGTAAACTCCAATTAACTGTATCTGAGGATAAAAACATTTTTCATACTTTATTAATATAATAATATTATTCTTACTCTAAGAAGTGAGGTCATTAGTGCTGTACATGTTTAGCTGTACATGTTTAGTTGTTCAGCATTTATCTGTTTAACAGATGTCATCTTTAGCATAAAGATGACATGGCTGTAAGAGTGATAGAAAATAAGCAAGATAAAGTATCCCCCTGTAAGGCGATCTGCAGTGTTTGAGAGTCATTCAACCTTTATCAGTACTGATTTCTTTAAAGAGAGGATGCAGTTCAAAATTAAAGCAAGATTAATAGACATGTCCTGTGTAAGTAGGCGAGGTCATTAGAGTGGCTGTTTTTGGATTAAAAGCTAGTAATATTGATCATACAGAACATATCAGACAGCTATTTGAAAAAATGTTCCACATCCCTGAACTCAAACACTGTGGACGTTTCAGAGTAAGGGGTTTCTCAGAATCAGCTCTGTGTTTATAGGTGAAAGGAGGCTCTGTGAACACATCTCCTTAGACATGCCCTGAGTTCCTGTTAGGCAGCAGCAGGGTGGAGTGCGGTAGAATTTTTGAGCGTTGGGTGGAAGATTTGCAATGCCATAGATGCTGGAAAGAAAGGAGACTTGGTGCTGAGGGCTGAGCGGGTGGGCATGAGCTCTGCCACATCATCTCTAGGCAGAAAAAAGCACACTGGACACATTGTGCCGTCAGTCTCAGCTCCCTCCTTCCCCTCAATCCCTGCTGCACTTTGCATTGCTGCCATATTCCAGCTATCTAGAAGTCAAAGGAACTGTATTTATAAAACTACGTCATGATCTTTTTGGTTGAGCGTGTAAAACCAGTCTTGACTATGATACTGGCACGGCAGAGTAGATAAACACTGCACAGTATTGTCTGCTTTTGATCTTTCCATTGTTGCTAAAGCTCTTTCATGCCTGGGAGGACAGCTGTTGGTTTGATATAGAAAATATAAATAATAACAGAAATGTTTTTATGCATAAAAGCAATAAGAACTTTGCTCTACTCTCTTTTTTCTTCTTTCAGGACCTCAGCAGGTCAACTAACGTGGTGTACCAGGCGCACCATGTCAGTCGGAACAAGAGAGGGCAGGTTGTAGGCACAAGGGGGGGCTTCAGAGGCTGCACCATCTGGCTTACAGGTTCCTATATGTGTAGCTTTCCTTCTTGTGCACTATTTCCTTTTCTTGTCGCTTTTAAGTAATGCATATCCCGTTAACAATCCCAATTAGGTTTGTCTGGTGCTGGAAAAACGACTATTAGTTTTGCCTTGGAAGAGTATCTGGTATCCCACGCCATTCCCTGCTACTCGCTGGATGGAGACAACATTCGTCACGGCCTGAACAAGAATCTGGGCTTTTCTGATGAGGACCGAGAGGAAAACATCCGACGTGTTGCCGAAGTGGCAAAACTTTTTGCTGACGCTGGTCTTGTTTGTATTACCAGCTTCATCTCACCATTTACAAAGGTAAAATAAAACATTTTATACAGTTTTTTTTAAACTCAAAACAGTGTTCAACATCTAGATTTATTCTAGACTTAGAGGTATCCTCAATGTCTCTATAAAACACATTTAAAAACAACAACAGCTGACCAAAGTATTGGTAAGTTCCACAACCTATCATGTACCTCATTTCTGTAACTTTTCAGAGCTTACCAAATACCTTCCTTGAACTTTAGTGGAGCTCACTTGTTACTTCATGAAAGTTGAACATTTTCTTGAGAGGGTCTCAGTAGCTCCGGGAACGTTTGTGGGGAAGAAGGTCCAAAATAATTTTCCTGTTAGGTCTGGAAAGTTCAACTGCATTTATTATAAAATTAAGAAATTATTTAAAGTTTAACAAAGTTACAGTGAAGTAAGTGGCGAGTTCTGGACAGTACATAATAAGTCCGGGAAAGTAGTGGCTGTGTATAAAATGCAGTATTTTAAACCAATACAACTGCTACAGGTTCTGGCTAATGGCTGCTGGTTGCTGTTTGCATCTACAGGACCGCGTCGAGGCAAGGAAGATCCATGAAAATGCTGGGCTAAAGTTTTTTGAAGTTTTCGTCCACGCTCCCCTTGAAGTGTGCGAGAGCAGAGATGTGAAAGGGCTTTACAAGAAGGCTCGCGCCGGAGAGATTAAAGGTCCGCTTGGCAATTCTCTCTTATTTTCTATGATCAGCTTCAAAACCTCTCCAGTATTTGCTTTTCTTTAAAAACTCCACATCCTATACTGTGTTACCTGTCTTTACTCAGACTATTTTTTTTCACACCGATTCAACATATTTTGGCAGGTTTCACTGGGATTGACTCGCAATACGAGAGACCAGAGGCTCCAGAGCTTGTGCTGAAAACCGGAGAGCTCACTGTGAACGAATGCATTCAGCAGCTGCTTGAGCTGCTACAGGATCAGGTGGGTGGGACGAACAAGAGTCCTGGATCTGCAGTGAAAACATATATATGGAAAGCACACAGGTTGCCTTTAGAGTCTGTTTACATTTTTATCCTACAAAAAGGCTACTGTGAGAGCGCATTGTTCTCAGGTGTGCCTTAGAACCAACATGACTACATTGAAAAACAATAAATATCCCAGTTTAAATAGGTGATGGCGGATGTTGTAAAGCAAAATAAATATAATGAAGGAGGAGTTGAGTTTAACTAATTTTCCATTAGTCTTAATGTGTTGACCTAAACTTTACTAAAATGGAAAGTGCAGCATGTCTTGTCTTATCATGTAATGTTTTTCTTTCAAGCACTCTGTGTCATTTACGTCTTCAAAGTTTATAATTTACGAGGGGAATGATTTCTTTTGTTTCACATAACTTTGACAGATTAACTCAAAGGAGCCTCATTATGAGGACACACAGACAAATAACAGTTTATGATAAATTGAAATGATGTCACAAGTAAATTTAACCATAGAGAGATCAATAAAGTTCTAATCCCTTCTATTCTATTATAATTGTGCCTGAATACTTACAGTCAAACTTGCTACATCTGGACATTTTTATAATAAATAACTAATAAAATAAAAGGATATGCCAGTGCACAAATACTGTGTGCAACAGTATGAGTTGAAAGGTGACAATTAAAAAATTTACAGCTTGACTAAAGTCTATATTTTGCACAATTGTGAAAATGATGCAGATTTTGACTGACCCCTAACATATGGTATTTTAGCCCTTAGTGTGAGCCTGTAGGCAGTTAAAATAAAATCGTATTCAACAATGGGATTAAAAGAATAGCTATATTTTGGGGGGGATTCACAAATAATAATGTCTACTACGAGTGATGAAAATTCTCTCTCTTTAGGTCTTACTGCTATTATATACTGAGATTAAAGGCCTATGTAGTACAAGAGATTATTAGAATCATTTGGAAGAAAAAAGTAGTTATTTTTCCAATTTTTTTTTTCATTACAGGAAAAGAAAAATAATATCAAGTACAAATTTTAAGAAAAAGTTGAAATCATTTTTCGTTATTTAAATTCTATAGTAGCTGTTAATTTTATAATAGCAAGAGCCTGTAAAAAGCTAAGCAGGTAAAAAGTTAAATGTGAACATGCTCGTTATTTAGACCAGAAGCAGATAATTCAGGTCCAGAAAGGAAAACCCTGTTTTCCTTTATTCTGTTCACCCGACCAGTTGATTAGAACCCAGTCTGTGTTGTAAAGCTGGAAATTCAAATGAGTAAAACTAATATTTATACAGGCTTTTTGCTTTCTGGACCTGGATTATCCACCTCTTCTTTTGGACTTGGCAAACCTGCAAATTCACAACACACCATGTACTTGAATTATAACAGTCAACCCGGCCAAGGCACCAGCTATTCTGGGTAAAAAGTAACTGATAAAGTAAATATATAAACAAATAAGACTCATCCAACCATAACACTGAGTCAATAGTTGATTTTTACAAAAATATTGTTGCAGCAATGTAATAAACCCCTTTTAACAATTTGCTTTATCACAAATCTTGCTGTGTAGCAAGATAGCTCATTTACAGGGATGAACATTTTTATCTTGACTCTAAACGATAAACAGCAAATTTAATTTATGTTGAGTTTCTTATTACGTATTATTAAGTTGTATAGCAAGAATATTTTACTCATCAAGGAAATATGTCCCTTAGAAACATCAAGCGAGTGATGTTATTGCCTCAGGCAAGTACTACAGTATTGGTCTTGTAGGTTACCATAAAAAAGTTGTATTCTGGTTTTTCTGGTTGCTCGATTGTTATCTTGATTATGTTACCTCTTGGTCACATGGTACCATTTTTCCAAGGCAATTTATTTATATAAATGTAAAGACACGGAGAAGGCAACAAGTGGTAATAATCCAGGTTCAAATGCTTTTATTTAGAGGAAAATCAGATTGGAGTAGCCCATCCAGGACACACTGAAGAGGGCACAGCAACACTATAAGCAAACAAACAGATATCAAGATATCCAATAATTATTAAAAGCTTCTTTAAGGATAATTTGTAACATTTTATAGAGGAAGACTCATTTATCGTTTTGGACTATTGTAATAAAATAATAATAAAAAAATCTGTATCAAACCCTTGGGGCTGAACTTTGACCTCCTTTAAAACTAAAAACTTTTGTAGGTAAAACATAACATTAGGTTTATAGAAGGGATTAGCTGGGTGTCTATAGTGTTGAGAGGACGAAGCGAGGGGTTGGTAGCTGCAACCAATGAACTTAGGCTTACAGATGATTTCCACTGTCCATAGAGCATCGTACCAAGCGAAATCATGGAGGAGGTGAATGAGCTCTTTGTTCCGGAGAACAAGCTGAATCTTGCCATGGCGGATGCAAGCATCCTGCCCACCATCAGCATCACCAAGGTGACAGCTTCTTTCAGGCCATTTTTCCTAGACGTCTCGTAAAGATGATGTAGGATTGTTGTCTCTTTACATGTTGATGATGAACTGTTCTCCCTCCTCAGCTGGATCTCCAGTGGGTGCAGGTCTTAGCTGAAGGTTGGGCGAGTCCTTTGAAGGGCTTCATGAGGGAAAGAGAGTTCCTCCAGGTCCTGCACTTTGGTAATCTGCTGGACGGTGAGAAATAACCATTCGATCATTTTTGTTCATATTCATTGTATCAGGCCCAAAAAAGAAGCATCACATGTGCTAACAAATAAAGTATAGTCAGTTTAGAAAGACTGAAATAAACAAAAAATCAACCTATTAGTTAAATTTATTAATGTGCATAAAAAAGTCCATACTTGCTTCATTGTTTCTGCTCATGATATGGAGGGCTCCATTAATACACTCCATCTTAGATTTCTTCTTAAATGCCAGTTTAAAATCAACAACACTTCAGAACTGACCTGCCCCCCCTGCGTTTCCATTTCAGGCGGGGCCATCAACATGTCTGTTCCTATCGTGCTGCCTGTCAGCACTGAGATCAAGCAGGAGCTGGACGGCAGTGCAGCCATAGCTCTGGAGTACCAGGGCTCTCGTGTGGCTATCCTCAGGAACCCAGAGTTCTACGCACACCGCAAAGAGGAACGCTGCGCCAGACAGTGGGGCACCACGTGTCCAGAGCACCCGTACATTAAGGTGATGAGAGAGCAACCATCTATTCTCTGCTACACTACACTACACTACACTAGAAAAGGAGCAGACTCCTAAGCCTAATCTGGTTCTGCCGTCCTTAAAAACAACAAACTACCTCAAGTGTTTCACATCAGCATGGAGAGATTCTGCTGCTAAACACAAGGATGCTTAAGCTCCAATTTGTATGGTTTTTGTTGTTGAACCATAAATGAAGCAAAATAGATATGGATTGCCCATTCAACCTGCCCACTGACTATTTTCCTCATCACTTCCTGAATATTTTAAATATTAATATTAATACTTTAAAGTAGGATATGATAAGTTGCTTTTTTGAGTACTCTTAGCCTACTTCATGTTGTCAAACAGGTTCTATTTAAGTGATTCCTTGGCCAGGTAGTGACCTAAAAAGAGAGATTATAAGCTATTATAAAGCCATAATAGCTTTATGTCTTGATATATTAAATCATCATTTTTTTTTTACTTAGGATTGAATATTGAAATTTGTTTAATGACCTCAAGAATTTAAATGTAACAAACTGACAAATAAAAGAAAAAAATTTACCAGCGCTGTATGTGTAGATGGGGGTCTATCAGTGAAACATGTATTCTTGCTCACAAACTTACGCAGTAAATTAGATCACCTGTTCGCCCAACAGAAATGTTTTTGGATTTTTAGGTCGTTTTCATACAGAAAACGTTCAAGATACAAAGTTCATTGTTCTGCTGCGCTTTACTTCTATTGTGTTTCCATTGTGCAGATGGTAATGGAAGGAGGTGACTGGCTGGTGGGCGGTGACCTGGAGGTGTTGGAGCGAATCAAATGGAATGACGGACTTGATCAGTACCGTCTCACTCCTAAGGAACTGAAGCAGAAGTTCAAAGATATGCAAGCAGGTTGGAAATTCTTCATTTATTTTAATGGATTCTACGTCAGTGATCGTAAAATCCCATTGCTGGCAAAGCCCAAACTCTTAATGAAGTGTGCACGGGGGACCCTGCACCATTTTTATCAAACTTGATGACCTAAACACAATCCTGTGTTGCTTCAAAGTAATTTAACACCTGTGTGAAATTCAACCTATAATTTTAGAAAAGTTTAAAAAAAAAATCTATTTAAAAAAAATAATTCCAGTAACTGCTGCAAAGAATTGATTTAAATCTGAATGGTATCCTTTAGTTGTCAGGACAGTTAAGGACATTTTACCTTAGAGGTGGAGAACAAATAGTGTAGCATCTCCCCGAATGATGGTCAACACTTGACTGATGGTTTTCTTGTTTATTAAAATCACAGCGTTGTCAACGATAATCCTTTTATAATCGCGTGATTTACATATGGGCTGCGTCCGAATGTCCGGCCTAATCACTATATAGGGCACTATGTAGTAGTGGTTACACAATTTTAAATGAGTGAACATCCAGTGGATGAAAAAGCAGTGGACTCGAAATTTCCCACATTGCACCTTGAAAAGTAGTGATCATCCATGGTCGCTACCTGACAGTGGTGAAAAATAACAAATATAGCGCAGGCACCGTGCGGCGAGGTGGAGTTACAAACCAACGGGGAGCAAAAAGTAGTGATCATGCGTTTGAACATTATGTTAACTGAGTTCACTATAAAGTCCACTATTTAGTCCCCGCTCTATCTAATAATTGAGGGAATTAGGGGTTATCAGAATCAGAAATACTTTAATAATCCCAGAGGGAAATTACTTTTGCTACACGCTCCAGTTACAGTTTTTTATATATATATACACACATCCAACAACACAAGATAATAAAGATAAAAATAAAAAAGAGATAAAATATATACACATATAGCTCTTCTGTGTATATATCTATGTATGTATATATATGCATATGTAAAAACTAAATCCAAGTAAAGTGAAAATCCAAGTAAAGTGATACGTGGTGTGCAAAAATAGTTAGGATGGACGTTCGGAGCCATGGTGTTTCTGAGAGTCCTGAGAGAAAATCATCCGCACTAACAGTAGCTACCAATGCTCACAGTGAACACAAACAGGGGTTTATTTTTTAGGCTTTGTGTGAACGGCATTTCATACACCTTTTATTTCATAAATCCAAGTGTGTTTCCTTTTCTTTCAGAAAAAACAAAGCAACAGATCAAAAAGTGAAATGGTAAATTTAAAGCTGCATGATCACTTCTGGTGTGTGAGGTTACCCCTCCTTTTTTTACTCATCATGACATGTGTAGGATGCTGAACCCAGAATTTATTGATGTAATAATTCATCCAACAATACAGAGAGTTTTGGAGATAATTTGTGATGCTATTTATTTATTATCTTATTTAATTGCACCAAATGTTTTTATACTTTATAGAATATTTTGGTTCTAATTTTAGCCCAATAATAAACATTTAAAACAAAAAATCAAACTAAAATGGTTTCTTGATGGTTGCTAACTTATAAAGCATGTTAAACTGCATCCTTTTAAATCTTTGTAACAGTAACAAAGAAGCTACAGGGACTTTTCTTGGCTTTATGTAATTTTTTGGGATTTGTTTATGCTAAAAAAAAAGCAGGCCTACAACCCTAACCCCAAGGCACTATAAACTTAAATGTATGACCACACAATCTACATGAGTCACTTAAAAGGCATGATGAGCTTGTTTGTTGTGACTTTTTATATTTTGTTTCATAATCTTTAAATGGCTTTGCAACAACTAATTTTGCAGTTTTTACAATCTACAATTTTCTTTGTTTTTTCTTGCTTTAGATGCAATCTTTGCATTCCAGCTGCGCAATCCAGTGCACAACGGTCATGCCCTCCTCATGCAGGACACCAAGCGGCGTCTCCTGGAGCGAGGTTACAAACACCCTGTCCTCCTACTCCACCCTCTGGGTGGTTGGACCAAAGATGACGATGTGCCTCTGAGCTGGAGGATGAAGCAACATGCTGCCGTCCTGGAGGAGGGCATTCTGGATCCATCCAGCACCATCGTGGCTATCTTCCCCTCACCCATGATGTATGCTGGACCTACAGAGGTGGGGAGCAGCCAGCAGTTATTATCAGTCAGTAAAACCATGCAGGGCTGAGTATCAGCTTGGATGTCTTCCAGGTGCAATGGCACTGCAGAGCCAGGATGATTGCTGGTGCAAACTTTTACATTGTTGGCCGAGACCCAGCCGGCATGCCTCATCCTACGAAGAAGGAGGATCTGTATGAACCCACACATGGAGGAAAGGTACTCACCATGGCCCCCGGCCTCACCTCTGTGGAGATCATCCCCTTCAGAGTTGCTGCCTACAACAAGACCAAGAAGGCCATGGACTTTTACAGCCCCGAATGGTGAGCAAAGAAACATTTAACATCTCAGAAACATTCATGATCTTTCTTTTTCTTTTCAAATCTTGACTTTCAGTCCTGGATCAATAGTGTAAAGTGTTCTTCAAATATAATCCTTGAGAGGCAATGTCCTGAAACTGTTAGATGCACCTCTACCCCGGCACTGCTGAATTTAATCAAATGCTCATTAACAGGCCTTGGTGCATCTTAAAATCTCACTCAGGAGATATTTGGGCTGTTTGAAAGCGTTTTGAAGTAGGATTATATCTAAAAGTTGCAGGAAAGTGGTTTTCAGCTGAAGCTCACCAAGATGAGAAAAAGAAGACACCTTTTTAAAATAAATGTAATAATTTTGATAGAATTTCATTCCTTTAGTACCAACTTACATTTTTGGCTTTTCTATGTGTAGCAGTTATGTAGAATCGTTACTGGTTTTAGCAGCTTTTTGCATTTTGTTCTATCCATAGTGACGTGCAATGAAAACACATCAGACAACTAAAGTGAAACGTCATGCATAGTATTCAACATACATATAATAATTAGAGATGCACCGATCTGATACCTGGATTGGATATCAGCTTTGATATTGACTAATTAGCTTTATCGAGTATTGGTGATTTGATATCAGAGATCCAATTTGAGCATTTAAGGGTATAGTGGAGGATTTTTTGAATTTTTGAAAAGACCCACCCTTTCCACTTAAAAAAAAAACACATGCACAACCCTGTACCCGCTTCCGAGAGGGGACGCCTATTAAATGTGTGTGAGAGGAGAAATGGGCTCATGCACGCTGTGTTTAAAAGTTGCTGTTTGCATCGCTGATACAAGAAGAGTTGCAATTTTTCCACTATGTCAGACTCACCACCGTTAAGTGAGAATGGGGACGAGCACGTAGGACGGCCTTACGTAAACATATCACCAGAATGATAGAAAAAGGAAAGGAAAGGAAAAGAAAATCAGTGCCCCTCTAAATATCATGGATATCTGGACCTGTCTTTTTCATGTATTCTGGGTTTCATTGTGTACGTCATCACTTTAGAAAGCTAGCATTAGGTAACCTTAGCTGATGTGTCCTGCAGCTTGTGTCCCTCAGTTTGACACAGATCCATTTTTTTTGATGATCTAATCATTGTCAGTCAGTAACCTCTCCTCCTCTACTTCTTAACTGCTGTTAAAGACAGACAGCCACGTTGTGCTCAATGAGATGTCCCTAGCATTGGGTTTTTTTAATGACACAATCCCTGATTGTGTGCTATATTGCTTTGTCTTTATCATTCTGTTTGTTCTCCCAGTTCTCATTTATTATCAATGCAATTGATAATAAATGAAAAAATGTCTTATCAATGCAGTTGGTTGCAGTGGACTTTATTTAAGGGTTCAGGATTAAAGTGGGCTAAATAAGTGTGAGCTTTTTAGATTTCTATTTTTAAAAAGGTTCTTCCACTTTCCGATGACGTGTCACGTTGTGTTTGTCTGCGAGATTAAATTATTAGAAAATACATAAAATTGTGTGGTTTCGATTAGAGGGAATATGAAAAAGCTAAACTGTAACTGTAAACCATTATTTTAAGATTACCATCCATCAGTTTTTATTTCTAATCTCATAATTCTGATTTCTAATGACATATTATTCTCACTGTGGTTCTTTAATTCCTCAGTCATGCAGATTTCGAGTTCATCTCTGGAACCAAGATGAGGAACATGGCTCGGAGTGGGAATAACCCTCCAGATGGCTTCATGGCCCCCAAAGCCTGGAAGGTCTTGGTGGAGTACTACTCATCTATTCAGAAGAGCAACTAATCATTGCTCAGTCCACAGTCAAATTAGTTTTACTCTTAAACTGGGGGCAAATATATTTTACACTCTTTCCTTTTGGGGATATTTTAGGTGGGAGGGTTTTATATAAGCAATGAGATATTCTTGCAAAGTGTTTTTGTTTGTTATCTTCTGGCATTTATTGAAGTTAAAAAATATTTACATTCCTATGAAAGTGTACCAGTTTATAAATCCATTATGTTTTTAAAAGCATATTAACTTATACTATGTATTTTATTAAATTAAAAATAACCTAAGACTCCTTTTTATAGGTTCAGAAGTGGGCTTAGTACTTGAAATTATGTTTTAATATCTCTGAAGGAAACAGGATTTTTTTCATAGATTTTACATTTGCAGCATTTCATATGACTATTATACCAGATGTTAGTTATGATCAAAGAGTGCTTTTGTTGCTACACACAATGCCAGCCAGTGTAACATATGGCTGTTTTATATGATGTGAAAAGTGCCTTTTTCCTGTCTTGTCATCAAAAACTGTAACTATTCATTCTTGCTGTTTTGCTGTAGTTTCGTTGAGGCTTGAATGACATTAGGATGTGGACTTGCTTGTGTATTCATGTGATTAAAGTCTTGGTTTAAGCAAAGAGGATGTTTGAGATGTTCCAATAAAAAAAATCGAATGTTTTCATGAATCTTAACTTCAATTCCAATAATGAAGCATGTGTCCCTTATCATAAAGGAGACCCCGCAATCTTCAGTTGCCTTCTATGCAACATGGTTTCCTACAATGTTTGCCTGCACACAAAGCATGCTTGGATCAAAGTAGAATAGGTTAAAGCATAGATGTACAAATAAGAGTAGACCCCGCATTGACTGTTGCAGCACAAAAATTATGGGCACCATGATCATCTTGGGGAAGTCAACCCCTACCCTAATCAGCTGGTTTACGCAGAAAAGAAGAAGGATGCCTTGGCATGGTGCAGCATGCTACTGTTTGTATGTCTGTGAAGGTTATCCCTTCACAAAGACAAATCCCTTTATTGTCCCCAAATTAGTAAATTGTGGTGTTACAGCAGCAACAGGTTACAGCAAAAGTGGTCACACAGCTGTGGACCATTAAAAGGGTATAAAAAAACAGAATAAGTGACAAAGTTTTTTAAAAAGTATATAAAATAAATAAAATAATGCGCAGTGTTTTTACAAATATAAATACAGTAAATCTGAAGAATAAATAATCAATATACAGCTGTGGACATTTTTACAGTGTGTATATATATATATATATATATATATATATATACATATGCATGTAGATTTTATATATATGCAGTTTATATATATATATGTAGCATATATATATTAAATATATATATATATATATATATATATATATATATATATATATATGCATACCTGTATAAAAATATTTGTTTATATACAAATAAAAAATATGAGGGGCTTGGCTTTGCAACATGCATACATCCTATTAGAATATTCTATTACTCTTAAACACCTAAAGGATATTCAAATGCACTGAACCATTTGTTTGTTTTCATAAAAAAAAAACACAATCGTGAAAATGAGTTCAATATTCACCGAGTTAAAGTTGACTAAAATAGATTATTTTGACTGCTCATCAAATGACAGAGCGGAGCTGTCGACCGCCCCAAGATGGCGCCACCAAATCACCTCAGAGCCCCTAGGCGAAAGCCATCGCTGCGGGGTCTACTCGTCTATGAGTTTCCTGGATAAGAAAAGGTGCGATGTTGCCATCTGCTGGTAAAGGGTGGAATAACATCCTGAGAACAGCACAATCAGGTTTTGCATTCAGGTTAAAAAAAAAACTCAACCCATGCACTCAGAGCAGCACCTTTAACATTGAAATATATGGATCCCTTGAAGCATTCAATCCATATTTCTAATGATTTAGTTAAATCCTTTATAACAGATTGAGGAGATGCCTTAAAACTAAAACACTTAATGCTGGAAAAATGAAACGGTCAGGTAAGCTAATTACTACTACATCAGTGATGAGCTGGAGTTCCCTGAGGACGACTCATAAATAGCTTTACAATGGATCATATTATTTAATCTATGATCTATTTAATGTTTTAGGTTCTAAAGTTATAACTCGGGTTAACAGGTTATTTTAAATACTTTCATTTTCATTCATTTGATTTAAAATAGTTGACAGGAAATATGAAAGTGAAACCAAATATTTATATATACTCTATCATGAGACATATAACATGTTCCTCTTTCTGTCTGCTATCAAGTTAAATTTGTTTTGTCCATAAGTTTGTATTTAGGATTTATGTGCTGTGTTTTAAGTTTTTTAAGAAGTATCATTTGCATCAAATATTTCTTGTTATAATAGAATTTTGTCCTATTTAGCTTTAAAATAACAGTGTTCCTGCGTGAGGGTTGAAAGTCTCCTAGCTAGCATTTACCTTTTTTTGTTTTTAAATTTCTTTGTTAGTTGAAATAAAAACAGAGATGAATAGTATGAATAACATTATGTTACATTAATAAATTAATGATGGGGCTTCAAGTTATCAGGACCTGAATGAGGACATTTACTCAGTCATGGTAATCCCCATGCTAAAATGAGATAATGTCAGTGGAGTCCCTTGCAGAAATTAGTTCCTAGATTTTGATTTTTACTGCATGGATTGTTCCCGATAGATGGTGTCAGCAATAAATCAGCGAATGTATTTGCTGTCACATTTTTCTGGCCCTCTATGTCATGTCATTTGCACAATATAACTATATTTTTGACTTTCAAAGCAGAGCACTATTCTTATGAAGTGTATTTTTTATTTGCATATTAACAACTGCTATGGAGCTGCGATGAAACATGTTATGAGTCGAATTCACAACAAGACAAATCCAGAGTAAAATGCTAGAATTATCCTAGGTCTAAAGGAATCTGCATCAGCTTAAAAGCATGCAATGGTTTATAGAAACATTAGCTGTAGGTATAAAGTCATGAATCATTTTTAAGCCTTAAAGATACACTATGAACATAGATCCTTTAAAGTCCGAGACAATGTGTGTCAGTATTTTAAACCTCACAGGGATTAAAAATTCAAAGTTTGTTTATTTAAATCTTAGTTGAACAAAGCCAGTGGTTATCGCATTACAGATAATATGTAAAGGTGGAAAATACATGCAAATATGGATGCATGCATGCATGCATGCATGCATACATACATACATACATACATACATACATACATACATACATACATACATAAGTAGTAAAAGTAGCAATAAAATGGGGAAAAAAAAGGTTAACAGTACCAAAATACTACAGCTTTGGGCAATTCTGTTCATGTAGGCATCACCACAGTCACCTCTAGTGGCAGAAATTGTTTCAGCACCTCTTGCATTTGTCGATGAAGTCATTCTCAAAACGATTGGGCAAATCTTTAAAATCTTATATTGAATAAACGCATTTGAAATTAAAATTTTTTTTTACCTCCCCAACCCACTTGAGAAAAAGCAGTTTTTTGAAATTTGTGATTAAAACGATTAATTAATTTCTCTTTCTATCATTAAATGTCTCTATTTATCAGACACGGCTACCATGCTTAAAATATTCGCTATATTAAAAGTACAAATGCTATAAAAGTTGTGTTTTATCAGTAATTCTTTGTTGAAATTATATCTGAAAAATATTGTAGAATTTAATTAACTAGTTAGCTTGCTTAAAAAAAGGTTTAGCAGTATGGAAATACAATAAATTTCTTTTTGATTTAGTAGTTACCATGACATATTTTATATTGTGTAAAATGACAGTTAAAACCACAAGAAGTGACATTATGTTGGAAACTTCCCTAATTACAGTCACACGTGACCAGTTTGACAGAAGGGACCGATGCAGATACATTTTTATCCTTCCGCCTGAGGTACAGAAAAGTAATCCTTTAAATCTTTTTTTTATTTTGCACTTACAATATTTTTTATTTTAAAAAGCGGATAAAGTTATTAAAATCCGCATTTAGTCATCTAACGCTCTCCGAATTTCCATTTTTGTTGGGACTATATAGCCTCGGCGGCGGGATACATGTTGTAAAGTGCTAGCCTGCTCTAGCTTCTTTTTTTCCTTCGGTTGGAGGCCATGATGGGAGCCTGAGAGTTCAGCTGGAGCGAGAAAAGAAGATGATTCACCGGGACGAAACTGTCAAATCAGTTCGAGCGGATTTATGAGCGTTGTATAGTCTATATACATCTAAGGTGGAGCCTGTCACTTTTTTAATTTTTTTTCTCAAATGTGTTCTTGGCAATCAGTCGATGACAATGTTGAATCGTTAGGAGGTTTTTGGATCGAAAAAGGAGGTAGCATTAGCCACGCTAGCTGGCTACGTCTCAGTGACTGGATACTGGTTTTGAGAGCCGGTGAGTTCTCTAACCTCATCGCTCGGAAAACGGCGGAAATCTTACGAGTTTTACCCGAGGATAACTGCATGTATTTTAACCGGGAGCGTTTGCACGACGAATCGCAGGATTGGGAAAGTCGGGCCTGCGCCGAGGAACGGAGCAAGGCCCGTCTTTATGATCCAGAGGAAGCCTTTCTAATCCCACCGACAGCCACTGCTCTGTGCGAGGACCCGCAAAACACGGCAGTCAGCTACCGAGAGGACTGAATAAACTTTCACCTCCCCCTTCCCCACATAAACTCATCTTGTATCACCTGCTACGATGGCTGCGATTATAAAAGAAATGGTCAGTCGGAACAAAAGGAGATACCAGGAGGACGGTTTCGACTTGGACTTAACGTGTATCCTTCTCTGGTCTCCGCAGTGTTGGGTGCCATTGGTTTGTATTAAGGCTTTGTTGAATGTATTTGCAGAAACGGGGCCAAAAACGTCTGCGGGGGAACGTGAGGTCGGTGAGCTTCCTTGCTGCCTAAGTTAGCTGTGGGCTAGTTGCTTTGCTGTCACCCAGCATGTTGGAAAGAGGCTGGATCTGTCAAAGCAGCCAGCAGAAATGTCACAGGGATTATTAAAATCTGCAATCTCCCCCTTCTTTCCAGGTATGTTAGTTTTGCCTGTAATGCAAATTAGTTGAAAAGTGTACAGATTCTCAGATTATTATTTTTTTTATTAACTCATTGGATTTCGGGTTGCAGCTGGGAGCAGTTGCAGAATCCTCTGCATTACTCGTTCTTCTGGTTTATTATGGCGGAGTGGCTCTAATGAATGAGATGGGGAACTGTCTAGGAAGTGAAAGTTCAGTAAATCACCACGATCCACCCATCTCTTCTTAATTTATTTATGATCAAATGCCTGTTTGTAGGTGCTTCGTGAGGGCTGGGTTGCAGTTTGGCTTTGAGGAAGCAGGTAGTGTTGTTGATCTGGTTCACTGTAAACTAGAAACCAGATTAACAGCTGATTTGGTCCACAATGCAGTCTGCATCATAATATGACGTTTGAGGTCATTGTTGAATTTCAATAGATCAATTTGGCATCTGATGTAAAGATGGCACACCTAGGAGTTGGAAAAATGTAATTTTATCCAGATTTGAGTTCAGTATACTATTTAGGGTTATTATGAAGCTGTAGATGCTACATATTGTGAAATAGTTTTTTCATTGATCTATTTTCACATTCAAAGTAAGTTGGTAAATTCAGCTTTAAGTGGTTATTAAGCTATAACCCATCACTGTTTTAGTAGCTTGAGAACAGCATGGCTTGTTTTTACTAGATGCATTGATCAGGGGAACCCTTGGCTGGTTCCCATTTGTACTTTGCAAAGTCCAACTTGCCAGATGCATTTGATTTATTTCCCCCCCCTCCTTTAGGACTTGCAGCCAATTAACAAACCATGCTTCAGACTCTTTGGTTAAGTTTTAAATCTAACAGTAAATGAAGGACTTAAAAGATCATCCCTGGTGGTGCTTCAAAGCCTTCATCTGATTTATCTTCAACTTAGAAAAAAAGTACACTAAATGGCATGCTGTCATGATGACTTTATAAAAAGACACAGATTCTTTTTTTATTCTGTTTCAATGAAAGTAAAATCAGATCTGTGTTGTTGTTTTTTTCCCACCAGCTGATTATTGTATCTTAAGCTTGGTGTGATTTCTTGTTGCCTTGATTTAGCTGTTGCCTTCAGACACTAACCTTGTGATGCATGTGTTACCATACATTGCTGCACGAGGTCAGACGTCTTATCACCTGGTTTCATAATATGGTAAAATGAATATGTCTTTCAGGGGGTGGCAGGACGCTGCGGTGTGCCTGTCTGTGCCCTGATGCAGGTGTTAAAGGGAGGGGGGTGGCTTCTACCCAAAAGTGTCTTTTCATTGAGGTCTCCCGCCAGTTTAGATGTGGGTACTTTGTTGTTGATGCATTTTATCATTTTTTATTTCATTTATTTTTTTGAGCATTGCATCTAAAAACCTTACAGGCTCTCTCTGCAGTTATGTAATGCAGTATCACAGTTCTGGGAATTGCCCTTAAAATAGAGTTGCCGGTGATCTTGTATCAGTGTTGCTGTCTGAGTGCTCTCTCTGGTTCTCCCTCTCTTTTCAGCCTTTTCAACTCACAATCTCCTTTTTTTTGGTTCTTTTTCCTTAACTACTCCCACTCCAACTCTTCCTCCTTGTTCTTTGCCCCCTTTCCTGTCCTCTCCTCCTCCTCCTTGCTTGGTTCTCTGTGCTTCCAACTTTCCCTTTACCCACCCCTCCTCGACGTTGCTTGAAGTTGTGGATTTGGTGTATGGATAAAGCTCAGGCAGGGCTAGCTTTAAAGAGGAGGCGTGCCTTAAGCAACAGATTAATTTTTTTTCACATTCAGGCGTACATTGGGGTCCTATATATGCATTTCTTCCCAGCTGAAGAAACCAAGCCTCCTATCTCTTTGACCGAGGCTCTCCTGGGAGTTTTGGACTTTTTTTTATTTATTTATAAAAAAAATTTTTACACCGGAGGCTGGACTAACCCGTTAGATGTGAATCTAGAACTTAATTAGGTATTTGAAGCATATATATATATATACACACACAATTAGGGGATAATGTATACAAAGGTTTCTAAAAATGACAGTTTAATTTATTGTAGTTGAGTTTATTTTATTTTTTTTTTACTGTTTCCATGTATCAGCGAGATGCCAGAAAATTGTCCGTTAGTTAAGTTTGCATTGATTGGTCACTCACTACTCACCACCATTAAGGTAAGGCTGACTGGAAGTCTCAGCACTGGAAGTGTGAAAAACTTCTTTAACATGGCTGTTCACACAGTTTTTTTTTGTTTTTTTTTCCTTTTTCCTTTTTTTTTTTTTTTTTTTATGTGACCACTATAGTTTGAAAGTCCACGGCCCCAAATTGACCCAAGTACGCGTCTGTGTTGTTACTTAGTTGTTACACGATGGGAGCCGGCAATAACTAGTCCACAAAAAAAAAAAAAATATCTATATTTAGTGGCCTTTAGTGCAGCAGTGGCTGCTGTCTGTGTGGATGATTGCCAGAGTTGGAGAAAGGATGTGAAAGTTGGTTAAAAGGCCACATGGGGACCATTTAGATTGTAGATTCTTTGAATTCTATCCAATAGATATGCACTTTATTTATATTTTGCAGAATTTTAATTTTTTTGGAGCTCTAAATTAGGTGACTCGGACTTCCATGAAGCCAGGTAATTGGGGATTGCTTTTTTTGGCGGGGGTTTAGGTCACACTTCTTATTATGGAGCTGATTGTTTTCTTTTTGCTAACTAAACATGTTTATGTGTGAAGCACTAATTCAAGTGTTTGGTTTACGCATTAATGGTGATGGTTTCAGGTTTAGTCCTCCTATCCAGTAGGTGGCACTCACACTCGTCCACTGTTGCGTCCCCATGATATACTATTTACCATTCAACCAACATGTCCTGACAGGAATTGCCACCCTTTGCATTACTTCCAAAAGTTTGCACCGATTCCTGAACTCTGTCTCAGGTGACTTTAACCTATTATACACAATATTGCTGCAGAATCTCTTCGTCTCAATGTTTGCATCGAAACCTGAGCTAAATATTTATATTCCCTTGTTGTGAGGGATTGCTGAAGAGTCGATGATTGGATGCAATCAGCAGGTTTTCCTTTTTTATTCTGCACCTTTCGAGATGTTTAATAGGTTTGTTATAAAAGCTGCAGCAACGACTCTTAAATATGAAGTAAAACATTTAGATCAGTTAAAGGTGTTACATTTTTGGAGTTCCTTTACCATCTTTTAAATTAAGGTAATAAAATACATTTTTATCGTACAGTTTAAGCAAATCCTATTAAAAATTATTTTCACACAAGATACTTTAAAATCTTGGACTGGTTTTCTCTGTTTGGCTTCTTGAATTCATGGGCCATTAGTTCTGTATGTTTCACCCCACATACAGTTGACCTTTAGTTCCTGTTCTCTCAACCTGCAGGTCTGTTGATTAATGACAGATTCTGTCCGTTTTTATTTTCTGATCAAGCAGCTCAGATGTGTGTGTGAAATTGTTCTGACCGGATTCAAATCGGAGGAGATGCGTCCAAACGAAACATATTCCATTTCTGTCGTTTTGACACCTCGCCACACAGGGTGTAAGAGATGGCGCTCTTTCAGCTAGTGGTTACAGTGTGAAATCCTGCAGCACACGGCGATGAGCAGGCTTTGGTTGCAGGTAGGCGTTGCAGTCGCGGTTCTAAAGCATGCATGCTAACCGAATTTCTCTTTTCAATTCATCACAATTGTGACACTTCACCTAAGAATTTGGTCCCACTTTTAGACCCGCTCCATGATCCTGCAGATGAGATGCATAAAAATGTAAAACAGAATCCTACTTTTATCTGTGGCTGTGCTGCAGCTTTCCAGCCGTTACACAAAGCATGTCTGTTTGAATCTTTTTTTTTTTTTCTTTATCTATCATATGACGTCATGATGCCCGCTCCCGGTCTAACAGATATTCAAATTAGACCTCTAAACTGATAAGCCGCACATTTGAACTCGTCCCGATATAACTTTTGCACTCTATAAATAGATTGCAGGTCAAGGAGCGGAGACACTGTGTGCTCCCACATGTGGGGCCTGGCTGTGGCAGGAGTACTGTTGCTCCTGTCCTCTCTGCCTCTCACCGTCAAGGCCATCTGCCACGAGATGCAAATATCCACACCGATCAAGGCCCTTTCTGTGTTCCCATCTTTCCATAACAACCAAGATAACCTCAAATTGACATTGACGGAAACTTTAATAAGGCCTGCTGCTCATCTTTGTATTCATGTAAAGAGATTTTAGGGGGGGGGGTTGTCATGAATTTCTGTCGGTGTGTCTTTTTCTTAACTCCTGCTGAACAGATATCTATCCAAACATCATCGCTATGGGCTTTCCAGCAGAGAGACTTGAAGGCGTGTACAGAAACAATATAGATGATGTAGTACGGTGAGTGATGGTTTACTCTTTATTTCATATGATTTATAGATATATTTGATTTGCAATTCATTATAGTTTTTTTTTTTTTTTTCTTTGCACAGGTTTTTGGATTCCAAGCATAAAAACCATTACAAAATCTACAACCTGTGAGTGCTCCTCTGTACTGTTTGTATCTCCTCTAATTTGTGTTTACTTAGAAACTTCCTCTGCGTGGCGGCTAACTGCAGTTTGTCTCTTCCCTTTTCAGCTGCGCAGAAAGACACTACGATGCTGCCAAATTTAACTGCAGAGGTAGGCTGCTTTATCTCATCATCTTTGAATTTTTAGAAGCTGTCAAAATGGTCACTTTTCTCACGCTCCGTCATCCGCTTGCCTGTTTTCGTTTTCTTTCTGACTCTGCGTGGGCTGGTCACGCATCAGTTGCACAGTACCCCTTTGAAGACCACAACCCCCCTCAGCTGGAGCTGATTAAACCGTTCTGCGAAGACCTGGACCAGTGGCTCAGCGAGGACGACAATCACGTGGCAGCCATCCATTGCAAGGCCGGAAAGGGCCGCACCGGAGTCATGATCTGCGCCTATCTCCTCCATCGGGGCAAGTTCACAGACGCCCAAGATGCCCTCGACTTCTACGGTGAAGTCAGGACACGGGACAGGAAGGTGAGAGTGGAGGCTCTACCCGTTGGTGTCAGTTGGCCGCCATGACTGGATTTTTATAAAATAGGAAATTTCAGGTTCTTTGTTCCCTGTCCATCCTTTTATTGCATACTTTCTAATTTAATTTCCTCATTTTACTGTATATCCATCTTTGTCCTGTCCTTCCTTGCTACCTTCTTTCCCCTAGCTAATGTCTCTTAGCTCTGTTGTATCACCCTTTTACATTGTTTCCCCCCCCTACGTTCTTATTTCTCTCTCCCCCCCCACCCCTGCTTTTTTGCCACCCATTCCTCTTTTCTTTTCCCCTTTCCTTTATTTTCCCTCCTGGTGTCATTCCTCTAATACCCTAATTCTTTCTTTCCCTGTAACCCTAACCCTTCAACCTCACTTCGTCTTTTCTTTCCATGTCTCCTTTCTTTCTTCACTCCATGTGTCTATCCTTCCCTCCTTCGTTCCTGTTCTACTCCTCTTTCCTCTGCCTTTATTCATCCCCATTTTTAATTGAATATAAAGGTTTAAGAACTCTAGGAAGTAGAGTCTGGAGAAGTTTATAATGTAACAAAGTGTGTAGGAAACCCTGTCCTGATCGTGGCCATGGGTCCCTGAAGGGTTGACGCTCTGGCCTTGTCCTGTATTTTGTGTCGTCTTGAAAGGTTCTGTCTGTAGGTGTTTGTTTTCCAGTGGTGCATATACACCGAACGATTCCAGCAACGTACCGATCAATTTTTATGTTACCTATATGTAGAGGTGCGTTCAGGAGCACAGCAAAGCGTTCGATAGAATCCGGGTTCACCTCATTGATGGGGCATCAGCAAGCGGCAGATTATGTGGTGAAGCCCCAGGAGTGGAGCTTGACTCCCGCCATACTTCTGAATGTGGTGGCTGGAATAGTGTTCCCTGTGACAAACCATTACAGATATTTGAGCCCCCTAAAAGGCGTTTACTTTGACATAGAGGTCGCTTATTGAAAATGTCAACGTGTTCTGTGTTGCAGGGGGTCACCATCCCGAGCCAGCGAAGATACGTCTACTATTACAACTACCTGCTAAAGAACCAGCTGGAGTACAAACCGGTGGCGCTGCTGTTCCACAAGATGGTCTTTGAGACCCTCCCCATGTTCAGCGGGGGCACCTGCAGTGAGTTCAAGTTCATGTTCAGATTCGGCTCTAAGTAGGACGTAGGCGGCCTGCTGCTGCTGAGAACAGGAAGAGAGGGATTCAGTAAATCTGCAGTTAGCAGAGTGGGTTATCCCCTGATGACCTGTGATTTTAAAAAAGAAAAAAATCCACCTTTGGTCAAATTGGTCCGCTATGTTTGGACTTTTTACAGATAAGTGCAGCTTGATATTGATCATTTCTTTCTTCTGCTGCTTTCAAAAAGGTTGAAATCTTGTTTTAATGCTTTAATAACTGTTGCTTCAGAACTTTACCAGTGAGCTTTTAAACAGACCCGGCTTTAAAATTGCTGCTGCAAAAACAATACTATTTAATTTAAAAAAAATACATGAATGTGGTCAGGTAAAATATTTAGATGGAAGTAGATGTTGGCGACATTAAATACGAATAATCTAATCTGTCTTTACAGCAGCACGTCACTGGGGAAGTGGAGGCCAGTGCACACAAGCTAAAGGATGCTTCCACAATATCATGATCCGCTCTGTTTTACTGCCTTAAAACCAGGAAGTGGCTCAGAGATAGAGGAATTAAAACGTTTTAGTCACTGCTTCCTTTTTGCATACAATAGGAGGCCACTCATCTTTATAAGTCAGTTATAAGTTATCTTTATTTACACATCATTTTGTGTTTGCTCTGAGCCCAGAGGGATGTGGATGTTGTAAAGCAGCGTGTCTGCGCTAACATTCCCTGTCATTGGTCACCTGTTTCAGTGACGAACGTTAAAACTCATGGCAGGGCTCCTAACAGTGTGACGTTTCTACCGTTTGTGCTGTTTAGTAACACTTTGTGTTTAAAAGAGAGTTTTAAAAAGAATCCAACAACTCGGCCTATGTGCTGCAATGTGTGTGAGTCACCCGAGCTGCTCTTGTATCTAAATTTGTTGGTTTCTTTTTCGAAGCTGTTGGTCAGAATAAAGAAGCTCTTCTTCCTTCATATTTGTGGCTTTCGCCTTAACACTGGAATCTGCTTTTAGGCTCTGACTTTATTGATCATTGTCTTTCCTGCTTTTTCTCCCTTTTAACTAAAACCAAAGCCCTATTCTGAGAAAAATAACCCCAGATTCTTTTTTTTTTTTTTTTTTGCTCTACAATCCAGTAAAAGAGGCTCGATTATTTTGTTCAAAATAGCCTCAAATCACGCATAAAACACACATCTGATGTTTTATTTCATTGATCTGAAGTTCCCTCTTTGCTGCTTCCCCTTTGTGCATCTCATGCCCAATTGACGCCTTTTCAGAAGTGAAAGACGCCCACCTCCTGTAAAGTTACACAATGCATGTTTAGGACAACATACCGTGATGCAAACGTGTGAATATTTTTCTGTTTATGCCTGCTGTGCTGTGAAGCCCCTGACCGGCCAGCCAGGCCCTGCTTGTGATGATTTCCTTCTTTCTCTCTAAGGGGACAGTACCGTTAAAAACAGGAGCGAGCCGACCCCTCAGGGCTTCAAGAAAGGGAATTGGCATTGGGGTAAATGAGCCTTTCATCCATTATTGTTATTTTACTCATTTGCTTTTATACGGCCCCAGAGATCGGCCAGGCAGGAGTAGTTTAAAGGTAGACGTGTTGCCTGGCAGGGATATAGAAGATGTTAAGAGGAATATGAAGTCATATCCAGCACCACCCCCTCCCCCCACACCCTGACAGGAAAAGGAGAGGGTAAAATTGGTCAAAGTGCAAAGTTTTGCGCTCGCCTAAAACTAAACCATATCTGTCAGAATAGGGTTCTATGTCTCTTATTCTGCCTTTTTTTTTTATGTTCCTTTTTTTGGTGTAACATTTTGTGATGTGTTACTTACCTTTCTCCTCTCACATTGTTTACATTAAACTGTCACTTTTTGAACTCACTGGGTGGGCAGGAGGTGGTGTGGTGCTGTCTATTGTCCAGCTTGTGTAATAACAGTGGGAATGCCCTGTCTTGCTCTCCTTATCCCCCCCATCACCATTTCTCACATCATCCCCACTTGTTCCTTTTGTTTTGTTCTTTCTTTATTTGTTGCCACCTATCTCACCTCTCATCCTTTGGGGGAACATGGCCGCTGTTTCCGTAGATCCCCAGTTTGTCGTATACCAACTCAAGGTCAAGATCCACACGTCCAACCCAGCTCACACCAGAAGGGAGGACAAGCACATGATCTTTGAGTTCCCCCAGCCGCTGCCCGTTTGTGGAGACATCAAGGTGGAGTTCTTCCACAAGCAGAATAAAATGATGAAAAAGGTTAGTTTACTTTTTTTTTGTTTGTTTGTTTTTTCTTGTGTGTTGAAAATTTAAACCGGTTATTAGAGCCTAAAAAAAGGTGATGATCACCTTTCTGTTAATGAATGGAAGCATAAGGAGAAAGGATTCAGTCAAATTGAGCAGATTCACCAGTTCATCAATTTCTAACTATTGTAGAGTTTTTACTGTGGGGATTTTAACCACTTCGGGTTTGTCTTTCAGAACTAACAACCTTTGAAATATAGATTTCTATCCTTCCTCTACCAATATATCAGGGCGGTTTGTTTTAGAGAGGAGGAAACGGGGTGTAGCTACTATAAAGTAGTCGACATTTTAAGGCCGTCTTGAGGCTCCTAAAGTAGCAGTTAGCATGATTGGTTAGGGTGTAACAAGAATATAATATAATACTGCACATTTCTCATCATTGTGAAGTAGGGCTGGGCAATTAATTGCATTAGCAATATAATCGCAATTTTCAAATCGCAGAGGCACCCAATTTTAGTCAAATTACATTTAGCAAGAGTAAGACATCACATTTCTCTCTCAGCCTTTTAGGTGGCTGTTAAAGCTGGTTTGCAGTGAGATGCAGCTAGCTTGTAGTTCATGCATGATGGTAGAAGGTTACAGTACAGTCCTGCAACAATAGAATGTGGAGAAGCAAGCTTTCAAAGTCATAAAAAAAGGAAATCCTTCAGTGAAATATCTACATGCTTGTGGTTAGTGCAAAAGACAATATTGGTTAAAAATAATTCTGATCTAGATTTTTGGCAAAGTTGTTCAGCCCTATTGTGAATTATGTCTCTGGAGGTGATGTCCTTTGAAGCTGTATTTTAAAGTTAGTCAGGAAGTTACTGTCAGGATGTGTGACGCATATCGGACTAGCCAACACACACCATTTTAAAGATCGTTTATAAGTCAAAAAAATAACATACAATTAGTTAATTGCTTGAGCCAACAAAAAAAAAAATTGCCAGATTCTAATCGATTTTTCTTTTTTTCCCCCAAATGCTGTTAAAAAAATGTGTCCTTTTTTTTTTTTGTCACCATCTTTCAACGTCAGGACAAAATGTTCCACTTCTGGGTGAACACGTTCTTCATTCCTGGACCAGATGAGAGTGGGGAAAAGATGGAGAACGGGGCGGTGAACAATACGGAGAGCCAGCAGGGAGGACCGGGTCAGGGCCAGCAGCAGAACGCAGAGAGCAGGGACGGCTGCAGGGAAGGGGACAAAGACTACCTCATCCTGACGCTCACCAAGAACGACTTGGACAAGGCGAATAAAGATAAAGCCAATCGCTACTTCTCTCCAAACTTCAAAGTAAGTACCGACTGGTAGCTCATTTCCTGTAGAACATCGACGTGCTGCTGAAGAACGTGGATTAACTAGTCTGCTCTCCATTTCCAGGTGAAGTTGTATTTTACAAAAACCGTGGAGGAGCCTTCTAATTCCGAGGCTAGCACTTCGACGTCCGTCACCCCAGACGTTAGCGACAATGAGCCAGACCATTACAGATACTCTGACACCACTGACTCTGATCCGGAAAATGAACCTTTTGATGAAGAGCACCACACGCAAATCACAAAAGTGTGAACTCTTTTTAAAGCAGGAAAAGAAGAAATCATACACCTGAATTTAAAAACAAAAAAAAAAAAAGGAGAAAACTTGAATATAAACTCAAAAGAAGAACCTTTGTCCCTTTTCCTCCCCCAGATGGCAATAGAATATCATCATGTCGAATGCCAATTTTAGGGGAAAAAAAAAGATAAATATCCTGACCAATATATTGTTTTGTTTGTATTATTTTTCTTTTTTTTTTCTTCTTTTTTGGCAGGGCAGTGTACCATGTGCTAGGTATTGACACTGTTGCCCCATGGGAAAAGGTGCTGTAGCTATAAAGATGTGTTTATATATATATACATACATACATATATGTATATACATATATATACATGCGTATATAAACAAACTTTTTTTTTTGTGTCAAAGACAATGGAAAGAGTACCACAATCAGGAGATGGGAGTTGAAGTGTGGGAGAAGTTGGAATGAAATACTAGAACTAGAACTATGCTGCTCCTTCTCCTGTCTAAACCAAGGCCAGTGCTGCAGTCACTTTGTTTCACTCCCCCCTCTTCCCCCCAATGACCCCCCACTCCCCCCCAAATCTTTTGCTCTTCCCTTCTACCCTCCTTTCTTATATTCCTTTACTGTGAATGCTTCTTGTGCTCTTTGCAGGCTGTCTCATGTGACTTTTGGCCTTAGTGCAGTGCAAACTGCATGCAGGCAGTGGGTTGGGGGGGGGGCGGGGCGGTTGCGAAGAGGCGGTGATTATGTTCAAAGCATTGCCATTCCTGTTCCCACTGTGTATACGTTAAATTATGCAGAACAAGGCATCCCATGTAATTGTTAATGTTTTTTTATCCTAAGATAATAAAATATAATACACAAAACAGCAGGGAGACCGGAAAGTGTTTGCAGTAATGTCAACACTACATTATCTTTTTTTGTTTTTGTTTTTTCTTAGCATGTACTGGAATTTGAGTCCATCCCAAATAAATGTATGCAATGTTGTCATTTCTTACAGAATCCAGCTTTGAGATGCGTCTTCTGCATTGGGTTCCCCAGTGCTTTTAGTCATGTTTAGAGAATACCTCTGGAGGTTTGTCATTTCTCCTTTAAGCTCCCTGCTAATGAAAGTGGATAGGGTTGGCTTTCGATATACTAAAATAAAAGTTTCTTTCCCAAGGGATCATTTCAAGTGACAACACCCAAGACTGCATAGTTAAAATGTGGCTAAGTTGGAGTATGTGCAACAAGTTGGGGAGGAAAACGAGCGCCAGCGTTGGTCTCGGTAAGGGGAAATATGCTGTAAAGCAGGTTGTCGATGCAGCTGTTCCAGGCGCGCTAACAGTAACTTCCTGCTTTAAAAGGTCACGGCTGCAAATAGTTTGGACCCAAGGTGGAGGACTGATGGGAGGATTGTTATTAAAAGTTCAACTGAAGGGCCTCTTTTGTCTGTATTGCTAATCTGTACTAGAGCTGCCATTTTCTTTTCTAATTTGAATCTCATTTTTGAGCTGAAAGCAGCTTGACCTCACGCTAAACCGTGAGGATTGCACGCAAAGTGGCCTCTGCTGGTTAATCGAGGCAATCTCTTTGTGGAATGACGGGGAAAAAGGGAAAGTTTATCCAGCCCCGGAGGGAGAGGCCTCGGGGTGCAATCCGGCTCTCCAGACCGGCCCGACTCAGAAATAAGACTAACAGGATTTATAACCATGTCTGTATGATGGGAGAGCAAGACCCTGGAGGCAGCATGGCCCAAAGCCTTCTGATAATAAAATAAAGTATGAATTAAACATATACATAAAAAAAAGATGTTTAACCCCTCGAGGTTACTGGCACATAATCCCTCCCAACATCCTCTGCCTCTATTAAAGCTCTGTCCTCTGCCCGTTCAAGTTGATAGAGACATCAAAGCAGACCAACATGGTGTCAAATGAGACGGGCAGCGAAGCACAGGGGCCTGCCTATAATTGGCTGAACCAAGGAGGAGGATAAGACTGGTAGATTAATAATGAATGTGCTAAGGGAGGTAAAGGCTGGGGCTCTTCACAGGCAGATGTGCTTTTCATCACACACACAAACTCAACCGATCAAGTTTTAAACCTTTCATTTCTGGACCTCCAGCTTCTATGATGTGTTAGCACATGTTACAGGTTTAGACATTTAAGCCATTTCTTTTATTCAAAAGAATTTCTTTTTAGTTAAAATGTTAATCATTTAAAGAATATGTAATGAAACAATGAAAAAAAATTGGGGAAAATATTAAATTCAGTTTTATTAAATTTGATTTTGGGCATCCTGCTCAGGTCTCCATTAAATTAATGGGTAGCATGACCATTCATGAAATAGAGCAGAAACAAGTTGACTTTTATTTCCATAAATTATAAGCACTGTAGAGCACAGCTGCACGCTAAGGTGGGTTAAAAGAAAGGTAGGTTGTCCAGTTTAAAGTTTCTGACTGGGTGCTAAATGGACATTTATTCTAATTGAAGCTATTCAAGGTTGATTAGCTCCCTGCTTACATCAAGATCTTTGATGCTAATAAGATCACTCCAGGTTGCTATTTGTTTTTTGTTTGAATAATTGCCAAAGAGAACATTTTCAACCAGATTCCAGAGTAAAGTTTAATGCACTAACAAAATGAAAAAAAGCGGAATGATTTATCTAAACCTGCCTTTTCTCAAAGAGATCAACCTGTAAGTGATTTCAAGTCCTTGACAAATTCTCATAAAAGTTTCCCTGAAGACCTCTATTTAAAAAGTGCACAAACCTTTTGTTTGTCACCAAAGGCTCAACTAAAAGTTTATTTCCGTTGCTACAGGCAACCTCAGTGAATGGACCTCCTTTGCTTTGGTTTTATCACCTGTACTCAATTTACATATTGGCATAAAATGTCCAAACACGGAGCTCTTTCTCACAGTGGTTATTTTGACCCTAACAGAAAATGCAAATTTCAACTCATTTGTCTATCTTGTGGCTCCTCTGCTCTTCTGATGTCCTGTCTGGCTCTAATTTTGGTAGGAATTATAGATATAAGTTTCCTAGATAATCAAACTAGAGTGAAACACGATCCTTTCTTATCCAGATTACTATAAATAACTATACGTGCAAAATTATCCTAAGACCTCTGCTGTGGTATTTAGCTAACACCAAGTTAAGAGTCCAGCCTTAAAGTAACACTCTGACTCTAATAAATGATTACTATCCTCTCCACATCTTGTTTTTGCATTCTTCTCTGCTTGTTACTCTAGTAGCAGAGATTAAGATGGCACTGAGGAATGTAAGGATGTGCAATTAGGGAAATGAGATAAGAAGAGGATCTCAAAGCTTTGAAACGGAGCAAGATGGCAAAGCTACACAAGTGACCTTGTCTGAACAAGAGCCAAAAATTTTTGCTGGTGCATCAAAAATTATGACAGTGCCTTGCAAAAATTGCTCCGCTTAAACTCAACACATTTCTTTTCATGTGACAGAATAAAAAGTTTAGGATTTGGATCCTTAAGAAACCAATAGAAGCTTCTTTAGCAAAATTCTCTAAAAGCTTTATGTCGTCAAACAGAATAATCCTTCATTGACTCCCAGTAGAAGATTCAGGAAGTAAACTGTGCAGTTAGAAGTGAGTCTTTCTATCTCCATTCATCCTCTCATCAGTCCTGATAGGTTTCCCTGTCTTCAAAGAAAGAAAACCATGCCCATATCATAATGCTGCCACCACCTGGCTTCACCATGGGGATGACATGTCCAGGATGTTGCTCAAACAGTATTTGAATTTAGCTTAATAAAATACCATTCTGTTTTCATCTCACCTGAACACCTTGGTCCACATTTTTTCATCCGACTCTTCACTCAAACAGAAAACACAAAAAAATTTTTTTCTTTTGGCCAACGATAGCTTTCATCTTGCTACACTGCTACATATACCAGACTAGTAAAACCCAAGTAGTAGATGTGTTATTAACAGATTCTCCAGAGTTTAAAGGCCTTTGGCTGCTCAGATTATTAATCCCCTCCATGCCCAGCCTATCGCTTTAGGTGGACAGCCAATGTCTTTTATGTTTGCAGCTGTGCTGTGCTTTCTATTTCATGAACAGAGCACTATGAGATGTTAAAGGCCTGGAATACTTTTTTTTTTTTACCCATCTGTGCTTTGAATCTATCCTTAATTTTATCTGCGAGCAGCTCTTTATTGCTAATGTTCTCTAACAATTGTACCGTAATTAGCCTTGTAATGCCTGCCCAGTCCATTTTAAGATTAAGGAAAGAAAGTCTGATTTAGGCACTGCTAGTGTGGCTATGATCAAATATTACTTTAAGAAGAATAATTCTTCAGCAGTCAGTGATACAAATGGATTATGTAAGAAATGTTTTACTAGGAAACTCAATGACGGGTTAAAGGCGACCTAAAGTATCAGTAGAGACTTTAGTCTCCTTTAATATCTGATGTGGTCAAAGCTACTAAACTGTAATAGCTCTTAGTTTAGTAGAAGTTAGCTCTATTTCCCCATTTATACGTCAGAGTATGCCTCTTATTGTACATTCCTTCTTGTTTATGAATGGAGAACATTTTAGTGATGTTTTACTAGTTCTCTTTAAAGGCATAATGTCACTGATTCAGACATGAATCCTCATTCATGGTCAGCGCATCGGCCCGCTTTGTAAGACACCAAAATACAAAGAGATTTAAGCACAGCCTTATGGCCATATGAGGTGATATTGATGGTGGTGGGTCAGTTTGGCCTACAAACAGAAGATAAGCCTCTGCTTGTAACCCCATTTCCCCTTCCATCTGTTGGTAGCAGTTGTAAAACATGGCTACACTCACAAGGACCCGGCAGCAGCCCACCCCCACCCCATCCCTTTTTCTCTGGCTCACTGCACAGCTGTGTTGCGTTTGGATTAGGCCAAGAATAAAACAGGAAGTAGAAATTAAACAAAAGCCTACACACACATGCACACAGGCTCTGTAAGTTACCAAAGACTCAGCAGCAGGAGCACGAGTGACGGCCTGTGGAAAAAGAAAAAAAAAAAAGAGTGCACACCCCCACATGTGTGTGGACCAGGACGCTCACAGATACACACAGTATATATACAAAGCAGGGCAGGAATAAAGTCAGGCTCT